TTCATCCCCTACAGCCACTAGCTAAAACCTGATGCTTAGCTGAGCTGAAAGAGAAGGGGCTGTGCCTGGGAGGAAATTTCCTGCCTTTTTTTTTGGTCCACGTCCATTCACCTGAATGTGTCAGCAGAACAAAAGTAGTCATGATAAAGTAAACTTTAACACTTTAAAATGTGAAACCTAAATTAAAATACCATGCTTTGCAACTAACATACATGTATTAACCTACTGATATCTGGTTTGGTGGATTGTATTTTTTTTGTAATATTTGCGTAATTATTTAAATAAAGAATTGATTAAAAAAAAACTCTGCAGAATGGTGGTCTCCCTGTGTTTTCATCCAATTGGTTGCAGTCCAATTAGATGACCCCTAAATAGTTCGGGGAATGGAAATCATGGGAATCAAAGCCAGGGTTTTTTTTTTAAAGAAATGAATGCATGCATTTGTTTCATTATGTTTTCCCTTTTCTTTCAATATTTATATATACTTACATCTTTTCTGATGTTTTCCCTAAGATATAATTATACAATCTTTTGTAGTATGTAAACAAGGACTGCAGTTAATGTTTAATCTACCAGGTAAACTCTATTAAATTTATCATAATAAGAAAATTTCGTGGAATATCAAATATTTTTATAACAACCTGCCTAGATTTCATTTTATGAATGTTTACAATTTTGGAAAAACAGTTAAATTTTCAATGATTTGTGAATTTTAAAATATAGAAGATATTTTACTATAGCATACTATAGATTCTGATAGAAACTATTATATAGGTTTCTAGGACTTATTTGAGAATGAATCTGTGTCAGTAAGCTCCTCAGTATAGAGCTGAAATGGGAATGATTGTACTGCCTTAGTGCAAAGTGTATCTACATGCAAAATACTGTGCGTAAAGCACTACAACACACCAAACACCAAACAATTGTGAATAAGGGTTTTAAATTATGCAGTTCATAGAAGAACAGCTGACTGCCATTCCAAGTCTATAGTAGCTTAAAGGAAGCCTGTAATGAGAAAATAAATGGGTTGCTATTACTGAATTCCCCTTTTAAACACTGGTTGCCTGTTATGCTGCTTCACAGGTTTCAATATTTTCTGAATCACTGACCCAGAACAAATATGCAGATAAGGAGTTTTGACTTTCCCTTTAATGTACTAGTTGAATGCTTGTTGGTGGTCAGAGACTCAAATTGCTGAGGTCAAAAAAGCCATTTTCCTGAAGGAAGTTTGCCATGGCTGCTTCTATAGTTCCTTTAGTTCAATTTTCTTCTAAGTGTCATTGTCCAAACAAATAAAATAGAAAACTAAGCATGCTGTGCACTGCCTACAAGTTTTCAAAGACTTCAAAACATCATTTACGTTTACTACAATACTCACATATCAATGAAAAGCCTTGATCTAAGGCCATAGCATCAGTGATTCATCTGTTCATTTCTATGAACGGCAATATGATAAGATGCCTTATCAAAAAAGCAAAGTTTCCATGTGCTCAAAAGTTCATTGAAGTACGTCAACACAGATAAGTGACTTGAAGTCAGCGCCAGTACAGTTTGGAAAGATAAATTAAAACTGTTGATTACATTCTGAAAAATTTCCCTTGCACACACTTGTGTAAACACCATGCTATCACTATCACAACTATGCACATAAAGAATCTTTATTAAGGTACATGTAAAATCATCTGTGACATATTTAATGTGATAGTATGATTTTATAGGCATTAAAGGTAACCTACAAGTGCCCTTTGAAGTTCAGGGGCATCACTGCCATAGTAGACTTAAATATAACTTATAATGTTTATAGTGCAATAAGAAAAAACTTTATCCAAGTTATAGCTTGACTGCAGAATTGTATTTATCCACTGAATGACCAGTGAATGTTTTTTGGTAGGTGGTTTTTTTTTTTATATATAAAAGTGCAGTCTCTTCAATAGGCACTTCACTGTTGCAAAAGCTTATTGAAAGTTGAACATTTATGCAAAGATTGTCTTTTAGATTACGCCTAATGTCCTCAGCCCATTAATGTTGAATGCACCACTACAGCCAAATGTTACTTATTTGAATACCGAATAGATAGAATGCTAAGTCTAGGAGCAATGTGACCATCCATGTCATTATTTCTGGTCAACATACATCCCTTTCTCCTGTACTCCCTTGATCTGCAAGTTTGATTAAATAAAAGAAAGATCCATTTAACTGTTTCATGGATTACGATTATCTTTAACCACTAGAAGACCATCCTTTAGCAGGTTTACTGCTACAGAGCGGACCTCCTGTGCAAAATCACGTATATATGCAGCACAGTGGCTAAATGATGAGCACTTCCACCTGGCAGTACTAGGGTTGTTGATTCGAGTCCCAACCATGGTACCACCTACCTGGAGTTTGCATGTTCTCCTTGTGTTGCGTGGGTTTCCTCCGTGTACTCCGGTTTGCTCCCACACTTCAAAGACATGCTGGAAGGTTAATTGGATCCTGCCTAAATTGTCCCTAGTATGTGTATGTATGAATGTAAGTTAGGGACCTTAGCTTGTACGCCCCTTGAGGGTTAGAGACTGATGTGAATGTACAATATATATATGTAAAGTGCTGTGTAAATTGACGGCGCTATATAAGTACCTGAAATAAATAAAATAAATATATACGTGATTTTGCACTTCCGCCATAGGAGGCGTGCACGTTCCGCCGGATGCTCGCTGCTGCTGTGAACACTCACAGTAGAGGCCAATCTGTGAGAGCCAGTGAACAGATGTTCGCCAGCACCCACTGATCATTGGGCACAAGAAAGAACATGTAAACAAGGCAGAGCTCTGTTCTGACAGATGGGGAAGTGAAGGATCTTGTGTCTCTGGAAAGCTGGGAACATGATCCTTCACTTCCCCTAGTACAAGCACCACCTAGTGTACACCGTGCACATAGCTAGGCACACATTTAACCCTTTGATTGCCCTAGATGTTAACCCTTTCCCAACCAGTGTCATTAGTACAGTGATCAATGCATATTTTTAGCACTGATCACTGTATTAGTGTCACTGATTCCCATAAAGTGTCAATTAGCATAAAAATGTCCAGCACAATATTACAGTCCTGCTATAAGTCTCTGATCACCACCATTACTAGTATAAAAAATAAATTAAAAAAATTCCAGTATATCTCCCATAGTTTGTAGACGCTATAACTTTTGCGCAAACTAATCAATATACACTTACTGCAGTTATTTTAATCAAAAATATGTAGCAGAATATATTTTGGCCTAAATTTACGAAGAAGTTTGATTTTGTACATTTTTTTATTGGATATATTTTATAGTAGAAAATAAAAATGATTTTTTTTTCAAAATTGTCATTCTTTTTGTTTATAACGCAAAAAGTAAAAAAGTAAAAATCGCAGAGGTGATCAAATAACACCAAAAGAAAGATCTATTTGTATGGAAAATAACATAAATTTCATTCATGTACAGCAATGCATGACCGCACAATTGTCAGTTAAAGTAATGCAGTGCCATATTACGAAAAAATGGCCTGGTCAGGAAGGGGGCTAAATCTTCCAGGCATTTTTAGGATGCTATAATATGTCAAAATACCAAACTGCATGAACATCAAAATGTTAGAGCACAGAACTAAAACACGTAATTATGTATTAACATAGTTAAATTAAAATGACACCATGTTAGATCCATTATGGCCAGCAGTTTATATTTACTCAGAATGTACCTCCCCTTACATACTTAACATATAAAGCTGTCATTCATAGTTGGAGTGGATTATCAATTTATTGATTTATTGGAAGGTGTTCCTAGATCAGGTAAGTGGTTGTGGCATGAAGGTGGGTGTGGATGATTTGTAATCTGAAGGTATGGGTTGACATGCAGGCCATACACAGCTCAAATTCAAGGAGAGAGAGAGATTAAATAAATTTACTTGAAAAAAATGATCGCATTATTGTAAAAATGGCAATATATAAAAGAAAATGTCACTGTCAGCAAGTAGCTCTACATCAGAACATGCCCCTTGTACATGTGAATGAGGCCACACTGATTCAACATTTGCCTGTCATTTTTTTAAAGAGACATGAGGAAACACTGCACAGGCTTCTCACATAAAAAGCAATTACTGGTGTTGCCCATGCATAGCAATTCATTATCCCTTTTGTCAGTGATGGTGATGTAGTTTTCATCATCCAACAATTCTAGACAGCCCTTGCTGCGTTCTCCCTCCTGGTTCACCATGGTGTCCAGCTGCAACTTGTAAATCCTCTAGTGCTTTGTGAGTGACAGTAGAGAACAGGATGATTTTTTTCTGCATGGGCTGATCATCTGTACGTAATGCTGTCACTGACCATGTGCATTCTCCTGCATACAGCCTCAGGTTCTGGAAGTTTTATAGCCAGCAGCCAACCACCTTAGTGACATCAGAGCCAGTACAGGGCCTAAAACAGAGACTCTGACACTCCTAATAAAATCTTCAGAGGGTGAAGACATCCACAGGGCTATTATGGACAAAAGGCATAAGGAATTGCTATAGCAAAGGCAGCATCAGTGAGTACAAATTTCAAATATTTTGTATGTGAGTAGCATAAAAGTGTTATGTGATGACAGTGTCTCTATAAAAACTTTTACAATTGAAATTATTTCCAATTAAGCCACAACATTCAAATATTTTTTTTACGGTCACATGAAGTACAACATTGATGGAAATGGAGTCAACCTCTGTTCCGCTGAAATTAGTTCTCTGTGAAGCGTGGTAACGTTTTTATGTTCATAGTTGCATGACAGCATTTTGTGCATATAAGACAAACAATCTTCCATAGTGATGTGAAGTGAAAACTTGCTGTTGCTTACTACTAGCTGCACAAGGTGTACTAGGCCAGAGAAAAGCAAAATATACATTTTTTTTGTGGTAAAACACAAAATCAAAAGAAGTTTGAAACTATGAAAAGAAAATATTTTTTGGTTGTGGTGCATACATACAGGTTTTCCCTTTTCTTCTAATTGGAACTTACCACTAGAAACAGAGTTTCCATTCTCACATGGTTCACAGGTAGATAAAGTGCTTAATGGCTGGTTATCTTGATTATTTGCATTCGTATCTTGAGTATCTGGCATTGCGGTATCTTCCCCAGTGCTTGTATTCAGATTCAGCTCAACACCTTGGAAATGAGAATAGGTTGCTGAATGGGTGCACTGTACTGGCAGCCTGTCTTTCAATACATGGAATATCTATCACAATTTTACAGATTATGAACACCAGATGACAGATACAGTATTTGGCTTCTATCTGCTTTTTTCCATAGTTTTTTGCAACTGAAATGGCAAAAACCACTATAGATATCGTTCAGAACAGAAACATTGAAAGCTCGCATTCCCCTCCCATAAAACTATTAAGTAATGAAAAATACAATTCAGTCTATAGCATGATAAACACATTATTGCTGATTATCCAAATATGTAATATAGTCACTCAATTGGTTTTATTAAGCTTTTTTTGATCCGTTATTAGCCTACTCAGATTGCAATTAGTAGTAACCATGTCTTTTTCTGCACATGACCGTATGTGAAATTGGCTTCTATATAATGTCTTTGACTTATCTAAGTTAACATCATGAATTATACAGTTTCCTATTTCTTTCACATTGTATTACTTTCATGCATGGCAGGTATTTTACAAAAAAATGTATATGAAGTAAATAAAGTAAAATAGTAATGTGAAAGGAAGTAAACAACCTCAGATTTCAAGACCAAATATTAGGTCTTGGGCAGAAATGTCACTTGCAATTAAACTAAATGATTTTACAGTCCAAGAACTAGCAAGGAGTCCAGAAGTCAATAAACAATAATTATCAATCAACCCTAATTTGTGACAGGTTCTTCTTAAAAGATTAATGTGCTTAAAAAAATAGAAAATAAAATGTCAAGAAATGTTAGCTCAACATTTGCCATCTGCTTGCTGCAGGTGATAAAACTACTGATATGCAAGATTTCAAATTTGCCTGACTAAAATAAACTAATTACTTTACTGTCCAGTATTTTTTGTTGTCTTCTGTAGTATATAGTTTTGTAGGGGAGAGTGTATCAATGTTTTTACCCTAGAGTTTTACATGTACATGGGTTGTATTTAGAAAAATGAATTAATCTGTGGGAGAAAGGTATGAGAAACAAATTGCCCAAAAATAGGGATAAATAGTTATTTACAACAATTATAATACAATAATAGTTATTTACAATATGAAGATAGAGGTAGAAAACATAAACTACAACACAAAGGGGTACAAGCTAAGACCTAATGAGAATTTGTCATGGAAAATAAAACTGCTGCAGGTATCCAGGGATAAAGTGCACATGCCAGCAGCAGTCTCCCAAACCCTCCCATCATTCCTGTTGGTTCATAATTATGAAAGGCAGCATCACAGGCAATAGGAAGGGGCATTAATATTGGTCACTTTCAGGAAATGCAGAAGCTTTCACTGTCAGAAAGGTCCAGGATTTAGCCAAATTGGGAGAGTTTTGGTGGCTGCTGCAGATGTATACAGGCATCTCTAGGCTGTTGTGCTTTATATCTTGTAGCAGTGATTTGTTTTTAAATTTTCATTATTGTTATGTTTAAAAAATACATAAACACTGACAAAACATCTCAAAACAGAACATTTTATGGAATTTTAATTTGGAATATAGGTTCAGTGAAGGACATTGCTGAATGCTATATGCACAGTATACACATGAGAGATTTCATGACAATGTTCTGTATAATATTTCCAGGGTTTCTTGGAAGATATACCCAAGAAGTCATTATCAAATTATCAAGACAAGTATGAACTTAACTCTGCAAAGAATTTCTTCTAAGGGGGTGAATGTTGGATATTTGTTTGCTAAGCTGTGTCTTCCTAAGAAGCTGCCATCAAGCTAATTAGAAATTGTCACGTTCAAAGCAAAATGCAATGTATTTCAGCAAACTCAGTTCCAGATGTGGAAGTTGGATGGAGTCTTACGGCAAACTGATATCATGTGTGTTTTAGTAGACAATGGATTTGTTTCTGGCACAACCCCATAAAGCTGCAACTGTTGAGGAAGTCAGGCAACAGTTGTGTGCATATTTCAACCAAATACAGCCATGTAGGCAACAATTGGGAGCATATTTCAACCAATTACAGCAATGCAGGCAACAATTGTGTGCATATTTCAACCAATTACAGCCATGTAGGCCTGTAAGTCTCTCAGGAATTTCAAAGGTCTCCTATTTTTGCCTCCCTCACTGGCCTCCTTTATTTTCATGATCCCTTACGTTTGGTGGATGGTCTCTTCTTTGTAGATTTAGAGTTGTGCCAAATTCTTTCCATCCCTTAACTAGTGATTTGACTGAATTCCAAGGTTTATTTGACGACTTAGAAATTTTCTTTTATCCCTGATTTGTAGTTTTTAAACAGCTCTTCATAATGATGGTTGAAGTGTTTTTTTTATCTTCATGGTGTATGTTATACTTTGATTCTGACTCTCCAGAAGTTGGACCTTAAAGTGTTACTAAACCCAGGACCCTGCATTCACTATATCTGGTCTCTCACAGTATGCACAACATGGAAATGCAATTATTTTAGTAAATATAAACTGTTAAATACCTTTTCTCATCAGCACTTAGAGTAGTCTTGTGACTTCTATCAGTGTCCAGCAGAGCACTGGTTACAGCTTGTTGGAGGAGTTTTCATTCTCCTTTAGGAGGATGCAGGACCCCTGACCTTTGTCTGGAGAGTGCTGAGTGGCCCTGTGTTGATCACATGCACTCTCCCAAGAAAAAAAAAAACTTCTCAAACAATGCACACCAAACTGAGCATGTGCAGCTTGCCCCTGAGCTTTTGTTCTATCAGGATATATTTAGGAGACACTAGAAGAAGGGAAGGATCAATGAAGACAGGATCAAACATACTTTTTACACAATGTGGAGGATTAACCCCACAGTGAGTATAACAAGCATGCTTTACTGCATCTACAGACTGATTTTACTGTTGTGGGTTTAGTAACACTTCAAGGATACATGTGTATTTATAATAAAATCACTGGAAACCATACATACAGTGATCTATATACAGTGATCCCCATTTAACTAACTACAGTATGCGTCTTTGAAAAAGAATTGCCAGCATCAGTGATTATTAAGGTGTGTCATTTGAAAGTGGGTATACTCCTATGACATCAGTTATTTAGTGTATTGGGCAGCATTGGAAAAGAGTGCTTTGGGGGAGAACCCCCATTTTTTTTGTGAAGCCCCCTTACAGCAACCTCAATGTGGAAAAGTATGTGGGTTGGTATCAACATAGCAGGGGGCTGCATGCTTGCTGCTCCCTTGCTGTGAGAATACTACCTTGAATTACTGGCACATCAGGCTGGTTAGTCCTCAGCGAGGGTGGTCACATTTTTTTACAGTAAAAATAAATAAATACAAGCTTATTATATGGTATAGAGCTGTGTTTCTACAGTTTCAGCACCAAGGAAAGCAGTCATCAGCAAGCAAATGAATAAGGGGCTTAGGGTTTGGGCACATGCTTTCATATGAGGTAGTCAAGGTTTCAAGGAATCAATTAAATGTCACACTTGCATGGCTCTTCAGAGTGGAACCATTCTTTATATATTAGATCTGGGTCTTAGGAACCCTTGGGGAGCAAAGTGAAAAAGTCTAAATTTGTTGCTGACTAGTTCTTGCCAGTTTTTCATGTCGGGAAAGAAGTCTGGCTTCCCTATGACTGATGTCATTAATCAGGCATATAAATGAGAGGGACAAAAATTTCATTATTTGTACTGCCTTTAGAGTTGTGCCTATCAGATGGGGTAAGTACATTGCAAGAGGGATGTTGAAGACTTCTTGGTCTATACAGTAGCCCCTCATTTTGTAATGTTTGCATCAGTCAAATATTCTGACAAGGTGTATGGCACACATGCGGTTTAATTTACTAAAACTGGTGAGTGCAAACATCTGGTGAAGCTCTGCATAGAAACCAATCAGCTTCCAGTTTTTTTGGGGGTTTTTTTTTGTAAAAGCTTAATTGAACAAGCTGAAATTTGAAGCTATCAATAAAAATAGGTGCAGCGCTTAAAACAAGGTATAATACATTAACAGATGGATATATAAATATAAAGTGCAAAGTGATCATCACCACATGGTGATGGTATTAGTGGTAGATTGTCCAAAATATAAGAACGTGAAGATCTCATTAGATCACAACCAATGTGTTTGGATATCTAATCCAGGGGTGACAGATGATGTGTCTGAATAAGTGAAATGCTCACTCACCAGAAGCGCGCTTAAAACATGCATTTGAGATTAATCCTGTCTCATCAGGTATAATCAGGTCATCTGCTCCCAGGTCAGGCCAGGTTCCTATACACCACTGGGTCCTTGAACAGGTATCACAGCGTCGGGTCACATCTATATTAGACTCTCTGGGTCCCTTGACAGGTATCACCGCGTCGAGTCACCTCTATTGTAGGCTCTGTGAATAACGGCACTCACAGAGAGAGCCCAATAAAGGATTTCAAGGGACCTTGATATTAATGTATTATACCTTGTTTTAAGCGCTGCGCCTATTTTTATTGATATTTACATTGGGAGGTTTATGGTTGCCTTTTCAGTGTTCTAGCAGCTATTGTTATTTTAGGTAGCGCTCGCTGATATTTCTTTGTTTTATATATGAAATTAGAAGCTGATTGGCTACCATGCACACCTGCACCAGACTTTGCACTCTCCAGTTTTAGTAAATCAACCCCATAGTCTGAGAATCCAAGTCCCCTTTTGACTTTTGGCAAGCAAAATATGTAGTGTGCTAAACTGAGTGTTTTTGCCCTAAAATAATTTTATAAATTCATCTTTTAATGAGTGGAGAAAATAGAAGGTATTATGATGGGGACGGTTTGCAGCAGGTATTACAAAAGTTGTTCCTTCCACTGTGTGACATCAGAAACCAGAGGCAACGATGATTTAGTCACTTCTGGTCCCAGCTCTTTGTTTACTGGCTGGTTCCCAGCCAGTGAAACAGCCGATCAGACCAATCTGCACCTGATTGGCTGCACTGGAACCCAAAAGAGTGATCTCCCCATAAAGAGTACCTGTCACAGCCTATTGCTGTCAAAAGGGATGTTTACACAATAAGTATTGTGGGAATCGTAGTCTGGTTAATGCCAACTGCTGTATATACAGTACTTCTGCTGATGTATTTAACTACAGTAAAGTGTTTTACTGAGGATTTTACACTATGCGAGTTTGGTGTATCAGAAGGTGCATTATGCAGCAAGATGCAGGTGCTTAGGCCAAATAGGCAAAACAGTTGTACTAGTTCTGAAATGGCCAACTAATTCCCGCAACCTATATCGACCTCAGTGGATTATAACGAGTCTCTGAGCATACCTGTTCAAAAGCACCAATTATTTGTGGTTACTTCCTTTATGACATATTGATGACTCTTTGTTAAAATATATATTCAAAATATTTACAACCTTTCTGTAATGCCCAGCTTAAAATAAAAAGCTTACAGCATGTCATGGACAAGCCAGTTTTGTATTACATGAACACTTCATCAGAGAACAAGCCACTGTGAAATGTCTGAATGGTGCTTGCTGTTTTGTACTGTGTGCACAATGATAACCCAACTAGCCACTTTCTCCTCAATGGTGCAAGTCAATATGAGTGTGCGTACTGCTAATGTGTATGTTTGTTACAATCCCAACAGTATTATTGAGAAGGTAGGGATTTAGCCCCTTACATGTATAGAAAGCCACTTCTTGAGAGGGAGGAACAATACCATAAGCAAAAAAAAGATGGCACGCTATCATTATCTATTTGGCTCATCATTCTCACCTGCACACCATGAGTATTAAAACAGGGTTTAATGAAAATGGCCATGCTTCTTTTTTTGGGCATGTCAATCCAAGCAAAAAAGCTAATAAAGGTTGTCTAAGCAGTCTCATCATTATACCTTCAGTCACCCCTGCTATTCATACTATTCAGTTTCAGGGTAGCTGATATCTTCCATTATTACTGCTGTCTCAATTTGTACAGCCCTTTCTATATATGTAAGGGGAAAAATCTCTACCTTCTCAATAATACTGTTGGGCCTGTATCAGACATACATCTTAGCAGCATACACACCCATATGTAACTACACCTATAATGTTTAAAACATATGTATAGCCAATACTTTTTTTTTTAGCTTTGGATAGAGAGGGGAAAGTGCAACAAGAAGTAAGGGGGCCCTCTACAAAGAGAATGAAAATCCTCCCTCCCCAGGAGCTGTTAATCTAGGCAGTGGGAGCACAGTCATCAACAAAAACTTGACATGTGTTCTTAACCCTTCCTAATCTATCCAAAACGTAAAATAAAAGTTTGACTTGTGTTTATATGGTATGGCATGGTGTAGAAGACATGTAGTTAGTACAATTAGTTATTTAAAAAATAATCTTGAGAAACCTATAACAATATGATATGTTTTCAATATTCAATAATGAAGAAACATGATCAACATTGGTACCATTGGTCATAAATCTATTAAAGCCAGATGTGTTTACTATTTAGTAAATCTTCAGTTTTTTTCTTTTGCTGCCAACACATTGGGCTTATCCAGCCAATCAGTCTAAATAAATACAGTATATAGCGCAAAACCCATAAAGCCCGATCTGATGATTCATGGATGTGCCTGAGAAAGTCTATATGGAGTAGAATGGCTATCTCAGCACAAATTCAACCATTATTAATTTTGCATTTGCAACGATGCATTGAAAAGGATCTGCAGCCAGCTATATATGTCCATCCAACTTGTAAATATTTTATTAACCCCACCCTTCCTGGGCAGTGGTGAGAACAGAACACCTTGCAGCTCCCCTACTACTCTGCACACTAGGTCTGGGATACAGATGTCATTTTTAAATTAAAGAGTTATAACTGACTGAATGTATTCTTAATGGAATATACAGTATAAAAATAAAATCTTTTACGGCACACAATGAATGGCACTCAAAGAATGCTATCTGCATTGGGCAATTGCTGCATCATTTTTTGGGAATCAGCCTTGCATTGTAAAATAAAGTGCATTAATATCACAATGTAACAAAAAAAGTAACTGTATTTCTTCCATACCTTCCATTTCACGAATTTTCCTGCCAGCTGCTGATTTTCTAAGTAGACTCCTCCCTGAATTAAAAAGGGTAGTTAACTCATCCAGAGGACTTGTCACATTGCTACTGTTGGTTACGCTGGCTGGAAATACAGTAGGAGATTTAGTTTGAATAGTCCTTGGAATTTTTACTGGTGAAGAAAAGGGCAATTTGGTCACTGTGCTAGAAGAAGTATCAATTACAGAAGGACTAGGTCTGCAAAGAGTTTTTAGGGTATCTGTATGAAGAGACCTCTTTGCAGAATTAACTAACAAGGCATATGGAGTCTCAGTGGGAAAAGTAAAGTGTGTAGTGGAACTGTAAGGAGCTGAGGTTGGTTGCAGTGGAGGTGTAGAAGGTGGGGACATTTTGTTTGTAACACAAAATGAACTCTGTGCTGGTGATGAAGGTATTTCACTGTCCCCCTTTTTGATATTTTGCACACTGAGGAGATATTGGACTTGAACATTCGGACTGTATAGAATAGTTTATGTTGGTTTCAAGTACAGGAAGTTTTATTACTTCTAATGGAGTCAAGGGGGACTCATCAGATGCAGGTGAACAAGTAACTGGGGCAGGAGGAAATACCAGCAGAGGAGGTCGATGAGGAAGGAGGTTTGGAAAAGGAGCTGGTATGTCGTACGTTTCCCTGAACTGGTCATCGTCTTTTTTACTTATGGCACAGCCATCAACTAAGTTCATATTTGACAAAAAAAAGTGTGAGGCACTGGTCTGCACAGTGTTGCTATTTATCTGATCAGGATTGAAATATTTCATCTCCTCATATACAGCTTCTCCTTGTTCTGGACTGCCAACTTCTGGTGGACAACTCTTCTTAGCATTACCAACCATCTCTATATATACTGGCTCATTATCATCTTCTTCTTGTGACATATATACAGACAGCATCCCTGGATGTGGTCCATCTGCAGAGGCTGCTCTTTGTATGGTTCCCATATCCCGACTGCATTTTCTGACTAGCACACTTAATGATTTTACTTCACCAAATCTATGGACGGATATCTCCTCATAGGAGCCACTAAGCTTTGTATTGGGACTTCTCTTTGGTTTTGGTGGTGGAATTTTTTTCATGGTGCTGTAATCATCACTATGTGGTCTTGGCCGGTAGAGAGCTAAAACAGGAAAACAATATCATAGTTAATGAAAAAGGGAGCAAGAGAATATAATGAGAAGGATAGCAAAAACAAAAAGTAGAACAGAAAGAAGAGAACAGAGAGAAAGAAAGAGGGAGGAGAAAAGAGTGTAGAGAAGAGAGGGAGAAGAAGAAAAGAGGAAGAGCAAGAAGAGAGAGAGAGGAGAAGCAAAGAAGAACAATAAAGGGAGAAGAGGAAGAGAAGAAAGGAAGGAACAGAAAAGAAAGGAGAGAAGAGACGGAGAGAGGAAAGGAAGACAGGGAGGAGGAGAAGAGAGAATGGAAGAGAGGACCAATGATAAGTGAACCTTAAAACATATATTAAAGTATGTTTGTTTAAAGCCAAAACGTTTTTCTAAATGTTTGAATAAAGTAGTGCAGCCTAAGAATCCCTGTTACTGCTGTCTGTGTCCCAACTAGGGAAATTCACTTTTTATTTGTCATGACCACTCTTAGCAGGACAAAATGGAAAGAGGGGAAAAAAGGAAAACCTTCCAATTTAGGCATTTGTTCCTGTGACAACTGTCCAAGAGGGAATTATCACTTTAGGGAGATCTCCTCTCACTTCATCTTCTAATTGAAGTTTATCTCTTCGATCTTCTGATTAATGAACAGAATGATAAAAAAGTAACAGTGTGTTACATTGTATCTTTCGGTAGGGTCTGAGAAAGTGTTATTTATAAACCCTTTCAGACTCTCTGTATACACAGGAATGCCAGCTTTCATTAGCCACTTGCCCTCCAGAGGACTTACCCTCCTTCCTGACCAGGCCACTTTTTGTGATACGGCGCTGCGTTATTTAACTGACAATTGCGCAGTTATGCAACGCTGTACATAAATGAAATTTGTGTCCTTTTTTTCCCACAAACAGACCTTTTTTTAAGAGGTATCACTTCTGCAGTTTTTATTTTTTGCGCTATAAACAAAAAAGACCAACAGTTTTGAAAAAAAAAATTTTTTTTTTACTTTTTGCTATAAACAATATCCAGCAAAAAAATGTAATAAAGCAAATTTTGTCATAAATTTAGACCAAAATGTATTCTGTTACATGTCTTTGCTAAAAAAAAATCCCAATACATGTAAATTAATTGGTTAATGTGAAAGTTATAGCTATCTACAAATGGTGTTTTTTTTAATACTTGTAATGGCAGCGATCAGCGACTTAGAGCGGGACTGCGGGACTGTGGCAGGCATTCTGACACTGGGTGGGAGCTGACTAACTGCCACTGGCATCCCAATGACACTAATACTGTGATCAGTGCTAATAAAAAGCATTGACACTGTACTAATGACACTGGGCAGGAAGGGGTTAACATCTGGGGCGATCAAAGTGTTAACTATGTGCTGTGCTGTTTAACATTATGTGCTGTGTGTGTGTTTTACTAGGGAGACATGCTGCTCTGTTTTTCTCTACTGTGCAGAGAAATACAAAGCAGCATGTTCTTGCTAACAGGAGAGAGACCTGTGTTGTTTACACATAAGTCTCTCCCCTATCAATTTTCCATGGCGAACACCGGAGTGTGGCGGTGGGGAATCTCAGGCTAGGACTCCGTGATTGACATACCTAGACATGTGCACGTGTGAGCGCTCCCTACACGGAAATGCAAATCATGTATATGTATATACGTGATTTTGCGCAACCCTGCTGCCCTTTAGCAGTTGTTCTACTATAGGGCAGCGAGAAAGTGGCTAATCAGAGCTAAATTGCTGTGTGCTGAGAGAGGGGAGAAGGGTAGAAGGAGACTGGATGTGCTACACATGTCTTGTGTACAATGATGACTTTTTTTTTTTTTACATGTGTAGCATGACCAAAGTCTGGAACTAGTTAATACAATTAAACTGAAAATGGGTTTAACTATCATATACTATATCCAAACCTCTCTTCCCACTAAACCTTACCCCAACCCTTTATTTATATGTATAATTAATCAGCAGCTTTAAATCAAATAATAATATTACTTTCAAATGCACATTTTGTGTTCTAAAACAAATGTTCATTGTGTAAACAACATACACTGGGGTTGATTTACTAAAACTGGAGAGTGAAAAACCTGGTGCAGCTCTGCATATAAACCAATCAACTTATAGTTTTTTTTGTCAACGCTAAATTGAACAATCTGAAGTTAGAAGCTGATTGGCTACCATGCACAGCTGCACAAGATTTTGCATTCTCCGTTTATAATAAATCAACCCCTTGTGTTTCAATAGCTTTAATTGTAACTAATGATGTTACATGATTATGTGTTAGTTTAGAACATGACTGCTTGTGCTGTATACATTTAAAAGTCCAGAGAAATATTTCTTACCTTCATTATCAAGATCCTTGGCTGCAGCAATAAGACACGCACTAACAGCTTCATAAGAAGCACTTAATCTTGTAGTAGGGTTTCTCTTTGGTTTTGGAGGAGGCTGTTTTCTAGGTGACTGTAGGTTACCACTGTCATCTAAACTTAATACTGTGTGCAGAGACATGGATCTGCCAGATGTTCCAGGTGCAGACTGTGCCAAGCTTCCCACACTTAGCGGAATCGTAATGGAATCTGAATGAAACAAGTTAGGTGTAGAACGGTATCCTCCAAAGGTGCTTTTCAACATCCTTTTACCCATGCCTTCATTTCTAAAATAGAGAAAATTTCCAGTGGTATTGCTTACAAAACTTTAGAACTTTAGAAAAATATCTAAATACACAGATTAAATACTCATATTAAAGTTGTTGTAACTGTCAAAAGGATTATTATGTCTAACCATGAAGCCCTGATAGCTACACAGCTCTGCCACACAGCATAGTCCTGTATGGCATGGGAATGGACCTATTCTCTCTTCACTGCAGTTTTACTTTCACCTAACAGGACTTCACTATCCTGTGACTGGACAATGAAAGGAGAAGCAGCACAATAATAAGCACACTTTTGTCACTCTGCTCTTTCCTCTTATAATCATGCTCTGCATCACTGCAACAAATCTGATTAAATCCTTGTGCTCATTCTTCCTCCCCTTGAGCTTTGCTATAAAAGTACTGTAAGAGGCTGACACCAAGTCAAATTAAGAACCTTAAACTGCTCACATGTTAAATAAATACATTTTATGATAAACTAATGATCATGTTGCTGCATTAATTTTTGTCTTTTATATCTGCCTAAAGTTAAACTTTACAAAATGTAACTATAAATGTCAATGCCGCATCCATCCCAGCTCAGCAATCTGTGCCTCATTTGTCTCCCCTTCAGCACTTTTTTCAGGATTGCCACTATAGAAACCATTATTAATACCATTTTTTTCAATCTGACTTACCTGACAGTGACATGTACTTAGCTAAAATGATTGAGAATGATCAGACTTGATCTTGCTGTGGCTAACTGAGAAACTCCATTGCCCTTTTTTGTCAATGACAAACAGCTGTAGGCCAAAAAAATGAACTGCCCTTAGAAGGGAGTGAAAGAAATTGATTACTTGCCATTAATGTTCAATTGTGGGTGCCCCTATGAAATAGGAACCATGCCTCTATTTAGGCATCGTTATTTAGAGATAATATTTTTTCATTTTTTTTATCTTGGATGAGTAGAGAACACAGACAAATATAGAATTATACTAAGGCAATAGCCAAGACAATATGCATTTCATATTATTTAGCCTAGTCTAGTCTAGTATTTTTTTAATGTATGCCCTAGGGTGACTGGAATGTAATGACACTGTTTGAGGCTTTATTTTAAATGTTTTTAATTCCGCTTCTACCTGTCCATTTACCATCTACCCATTCTAACTTGTATTCTAATCTTTAACAGAAAAACTCTGCTTAAGACTAGTGATCAGCTAAATGTACTTGGGTTTGGTTAGGGACTGGTTAATTAAACATGACAAAAGTTCAGGTGCCAAACCTGAATCCAATTGAAGTCAATGGAAGATGTAAGATAAAAAACATTAATAGCCATTTTCTGGGCCAATAGGTAAGGGATCTTCAAAAAATGACATGAGAAAGAGGGGGTGGGGCTTGGCACTGCCCTGAGGAACAAGCTACAGTGAAAGAAAGTAAGAAATTATTTTAAAAAATTTAAATTCAATCCTCTACAGAAACAATGACATTTGCAAAGAAATAAAGTGTTTTTACATTTCCAGCAAAATTCCAGCTCCCGCTGATTTGTTTTGTTTGTAAATAACACGCAAACATGAATGAATTTTAAAAGCCAGTACTGGCCATTTCCTAGGCTTGGGAGGGGGGATGGGCACATTTACAAAGCAAAAAAAAAAATTCTGTTTGGCTTTGAGCAGCAGTTTTAGTAATCAAAAAAAGGTCCCATGATCTAAATTCAGAATCAATTGTGTTGTCTAGCAATATAGAGTCACGTCAATGCCAGGCGACCATCTGAAAGAAAAAAATCCAATGACCGACAACACAATTCTGTTCCTGCTGCTTCACTTCTGTCGAAGGACAGGCCAGCAGATAACGGCTGTTATAAACAAAGTGACAGGGACTCCTTGGTGAGGTCATTGACCATACATGGACATGATTATATATGGTGAATGACATCACTGGTCTCCTGTGACATTATTGACCAAGGGATTCCTGGTGATGTAAGTGGATGGAGTAGGTGACGTCAGTGGTTGTCAGGACTCTGCATTGCTGGCACCCAATGGCATCCTTAACAACCATTGACAGCGGGAAGCTGTCATGTAAAATAATAAATCAAATAATGGTGCAGTGCAAACAACAAACCTAAATTACCATAACAAAATGCCTAAAATAAGTTGTGACCATAATCCCAGAGCTGCAAACTGAAAAAAAACAACAACAAAAGGAATAGCTCAATAGCACTGTCTCTCTCCCAAAAACCATATGCAGTAAATGTCAATCTACATAAGAATATCTTGCTCAATTTGAAATTAACCCTCCACCTTGACACTAAATATGCAGAGATAAATAGATAAAAAATAAAAAATTAATTAATACAATCACACTCCTCTTGTAATCAAAAAGTCCATTATGGTCAGAAATAGAGTAGTAGTAATCAACCGAAATCAACACAAACGTCCACCTTTTGCACCACCACCCTTAAGAAGTGGCTGCTCACCTTCATTTCTGACCCATATTCTCATATAGGTCTCACAGGCATGAGTTAGGGGCTCCCCCAAAAATTGCTCCTGTTCTTCCTTCTCTCTCAGGTCTCTCCAACTGCTGCTGTGTATAATCTCCTTATAGGCCAGATATGCTCAGAATAGATGACAAACAACGGAATCGCTTATGGAGTAGTATTAAAAGTGATTGTTTATTAAGATAAAAAATGCTACTCACATAGGCAGTAGTATTACAGGCTAAGAATGCATTCCACAAACAAGGGAATACCCTCCTTCTGGTCTCAGCCGTGACTGGAAGTGACATCACCTGGTTCCACCCTCCGACATATTGCGTCACAGGTCACGTGACTTCCTCAGTGGTGTTGTGTAAAATAGAGGTAGTAATACAAACTCCCAAGCAGCTAAGGTTTGCACAGAAATTCATGTTCATACCTAACATTAAGCTCATCAATTTTTTAGATCCACGACTGTTGGTGGACCCTGACAATTGATGGCTTATCTCCAAAAGAAACCAATTACTGCATCTTTTATTAGGCCAACTCTTATTTAATGATGCTTTTTCCAAAATTCCCAAGAGATTTTGTAAACTGTGATATACAGATAATGGAACCCTAGAATACAATTTCAGTAGGGGCATTGTTGTAGTATTTAAACTAAAGTGAAAGGTAAACAGTAGAACATTTTTTATGCATGTCTTGTATAGTAGAAATGACTAGTCATGATTGCCAAACTCAAATATGGACACATCCTTACAATGTGCTTGGGGGTCAAGCAGTCACATTTAAGATGAACTCATTTTCTGATCTATAAATAGCAAATAAATCTTCTTCTTTTATCTACAGGTATTGTGCTCTTTCATATCCTGTAACCATTTACCTGTTTGGAATGTCTGCTTTATCCAAAGCTGGTACTGTTTTGTTGCTAGCAGCCTCTGAATCAGAGCAAAGTTTGTCTTTTTCTCGAGCAATGTCAGCTGCATTTTGGATAAGCAACGAATTGTATGTTTGTTGCCCTGTGTGCTCTACAGACAGAAGGAAGTCTTCTATGCAAGTAACTTCATTTTGTTTTATGTTCATTCTATGCCGCAGCTGTTGTCGAGCTAGAAACATCCTTATAACTGATATAAAAAAGAAAAAAAACATTAGAACTAAATGATACTTACTAGTGCTGTTGTTTACTTTTATTATGTCTAGAGCTGGCCTACTTCTGCTATACAGTGGGGTTTATTTACTTAAACTGGAGGTTGCAAAATTTGGCGCAACTGTTCATGGAAGTGAATCAGCTTCTAACTTCAGCTTGATCCATTAAGCTTTGTCAAAAAAAGAAAAAAACTAGAAGCTGATTGGTTTCTATGCAGAGCTGCACTAGATTTTGCACTATCCAGTTTTAGTAAATCAACCCTAGTGTCAGTCAGCAGGTCGCACAGCCTTGCTGGGGAAAGAGTCTACAGTAAAAATCTCAATACCATAACAAATAAAAATACTCAAATATTAATGGTATAGATATAATGATAGATGTATTTTTCAATGTATGCAGTCAACCTACAACCAGTGATTTGAACCTCAACAGGATTAAGGGGAATACATAAGGCAGAGAATGCCCAGAGCGTTGACAATTGCTCAATTGAACATCACAGTTAAACTTACAGAGATCTTTAAATATACAGAATCTACAAATGACTGAATCAAAGGAATCACCAATTGATTACATTTGTCTACATAGTGTGTTCGATCTGTAGAGATTCGCACAGTTTTTCAAAAAGAGGCAATAGGGGTTTAAACACAACTCCCAGTCTACAGGAATCTATATTTTCATACTATCTCCTGTATGTTACAGCTTTCTTACCTAATTTTAACATTTATCTTAAGGTTTTCTACTTTAAATTGGAGAGACAAAGTCAAAAGACCTTCCTTAGTCTTCTCATTCTGATGTACATTGGCCTGCGGGGGAGTAATGCCCACTCATGATTGACATGTAGCAGGTATCATGCCTATCTAAACTAATACATACAGCTTTGCCTAAATTTGAATGGTAGAAGATTTTGAAACCAGATGCTGTGTGTTACATGTGTTTGCAGAACTGATCACATTGCACAGCACAAGCCATTAGTCTAAACTTCCCTTACATTACTCGTTCTGTTCCTCTATATGTTGCTAATACAACGTGCAATGTAACCTAATACAGCAAGTCAGTTCTGCTCACCCAAAAGCAATACTGCATTCACATTTGGAGATCAACACAACAATGTATAGTAAACTGTCCTAGGTCCCGGATTTAGTATGCAAAGGGGGTAGGCTCTGCAATAACTGTTTCTATCCAGATGAAACTGGCTCTTTGGAAATTGTGTGTACCACAATGGACACAACAGCAGAGACTGACATCTTCTAAAGCCCTGGCGGCATGTCCAAGACAGTCAGTGGTTCTTGTGTGGAAGACTGTACATACAGGCCAAAAGTGTGCCTGTTACAATGCCCTTTAAGAAAAATTCAAAGGCCCATATTGGGAAGAAACGTAGGAGAGAATTAAAGGATGAAAAAAATGCATATCATTTTGCTTGTAAAAAAATGTGCATTTATCTTTTTTTAAATTAGGAATTTGTAAAGCATTGCACCCACAATCAGCAGATCGTGGGTGCAATCTTAGGCTCCCGGTAGATTGTCAGTGTAGCTGTCTGCCCATAATTCCAAATGGGCAGGCAGTTACTGAATGACAGGAAAGATCAATGAACTACCTTGAGCACTCATCAGCGCACTGGCAGTTCATTGAGAATTACAAGCCGACAGCCACAATGGCTGACAATAGTTGTAATTCTCCTATTTTCAGAACTCTGTGAATGAATGACACGGCCGACAAGGGCTGCGGGTAGAAGATCCCCAGCCTTCTGTCACAACAGAGGGTTTGAGGGCAGGGGGGGGGGATGCTCAGTTTAGTAGTAACATATTACATGCTGCACCCTAAATATGGGTGTAATATATAACCTGTTACTAAAGGTAAACTTATCCTTTAAAGAGCAGCACCATTTTTACCAAGCACCAGAGACAGAAACAGATGGGTCAGAAACAGGTTCTGCTGTAAAGAATGACTTTGCCACTTCAATAAGTCTAAATGAATGTGTTCAGGAAAAAAGAAATGATCACTGACAGAAATCTCTGGTATATTCCTAAGACGGCAATTTTTAGCAGATTTATTGGTACACAAGCTATGGACTAGGTAATGATGTGCAGCATAGAACAGGTGCACATGGAATACAATAAATGAGGCAATGTGTAAATATGATGACAATGGGAAAAGAAGGTATTATATAAAGCACATTTCCTATATAATTTTAAAGCCATTACAAATATTATCTGTTTTACAACACTTACAATACTGGAACTATCTTGCAATCAAATATCCAAAGCAACAATCTGAATGGAAAATATGATTTTTTTATAGAAGTTTTATATACATCCACATATAAAAACATATAGGCCTAGTTTATTCAGCATATACTGTACATCAAAATTAATACCACCTTTAACCCAGAGTCCCTTCAGATATTGTACTTAATCATATAGGTTAAATGCAATATACAGTATACTGTAGTGGGACTATATTTTCTCTACGCATTTCATAAAATGAATTCACTTCCTCAGGACAATAAGGATGAATAACTTATGATGAATTATATCAAACATATATATTTTAATCAAATAATAAATAACAAGCACCAGTATTTACCTACATTTATGTTGTATAGAAGATAGACCTTTAATAAAAAGAGTCTCCTAGATTGCAGCAAAGTGTCATGTAGCATCAAAGGACAAAATATTTTAAGAGAGAGCCAAATAGGATAAAACACAGTAAAACCGCAAAAAATACCCATGAAGATGAACTACCTGTAAAAGTGTCATGACATAATTTTAGTCAGTCCTTCAAAGGATCTAAAAAAATGTAACTATAATTAAATAATACTTATCTCATAACAGTAATCCTGGGGTACTGAAGATGATATTGCAATCCCATATATGTAATTATACATTGAACAGCCCTATATGGCAGTAACTGATATATAAAACATTAACTATTTACTCTAGTAATACAATATAGTTTTCAGCCACTGTTAACACATCAGGCTAGAAATACATGCTTTTAATTATGACTCGTTAACGATTCCGTGGGGAGATAGAATATAAACTCCCAGCCAGGCTGGCATCTTTTGGACAAAAGGGGAGCCATTATAGCATGCTCTGGCTCCATTATTCATCTATGGGAATCCAGAACAGGCCTATGTTATAGGTCAGGTGGATGTAGGCTCTTCTCCTGGGCGGTGATGTATGGCTATTGGTTCCATCCTTGTGGGTAGATTGTCTAGGTTGGCATGTATTCTATGTCTTGGGACATCTGTGGCAGTGCAATGACATCAGGGTGCTCAGGGGCTGTGGATTTTGGTCATTTTGTGCAGTGCCATGGGCAGGGTGGGGGATATAAAGGAAGGCCATAATCTGACCTGGAATCATTACAGCACCAGTGACAACATCATGAGAGATTGTACAGTGTTTATATATGACATTCAAATATATATTTTACACTTTGAGACAGAACTAGAGAGAATAGCATACCCTTGCTATAGGATTGATGTAGCAATATCCTGATTTTTTTTCTATAGAGCTATTATATACAGCCTGGGATGATATGATGGTTTCAGAATTATATTAGAAGACCCTAACTGGGAATCTGTGCTCTACCCCCCTATGGAATTGTTCATGAGTCGTAAATATATGTATTTCTAGCTTGATATGTTAACATTAGCTGAGCAACTAGATTTTATTACTAGATTTGAAAATCCTGCATTTTCTATATATCAGATATTGTCATATAGGATGGTGTTCAATGGAAAATTACATGTGAAAGATTGCAATATCATCTTTAGCACTCTAGGGTGACAGGTGATGGCATGGTTGCTCTTTGACGCTCTGTTCAATGAGTGTTACTCTTAATGACAGGCCGCCTGCACTGGAAATCACACCTGCACTGGGAGCCACACTGTAGTGCAGTCCCCAGTGCAGGATGAGATTTCTGGAAAGGTGCAGAGACCTTGATACTGCGTTTTGCAAGGTACTGCAGTCCATTCAAATAAATGAGCTGCCATGCCATGTCCTGCAAAACTACACTAGTGTTAACCAAGCATGAGGTGTTACCATCTTGTATCCTCTTTAGCTCTATCTTAAAACAGTGTGTTCTTTGATGCTATATGTAGTTTTGCTGCACTCTAGGAGGTTCTTTTTATTATAGGCCTATTTTCTACAACATGAATGTAAGTAAATACTGGTGCTTGTTATTTATGTTTTAACTCAAAATATATGTATGATAAGAATATTTCATCATACAATATTTGTCCATATTCTCCTGAAAACATGAATGAATTTAATGAAATGTAGAGAAAATATAGTCCCACTACAATATACTATATACTGCATATAACCTATATGGTTATCTGGAGACACTCTGGGTTGCAGATGATATTAATTTTTATGTATATACTGCAATAACTAGGCCTATTTGTGTTTTTGTATGAGGATGTACTGTATATACAATATTTCCTTTTACTCTGTTGTGATAAAGATTCATATTTTCACTTTGAAATGATGCCTTAGATATTTCTTCAGTTACCAGGATAGTCCCAATATCTCTGCTGTAGCTAAATAGTTTCAACCTATAATTGGGATGTTGGCACGCTCTTGATACTTACCCATGAGAATATTTGGAACAACTTACAGTATTGTTTTATATCATGAAACTTCCCCAGTACCCAATGGTAAATAAACAATATAGAATTAAAGATACGATTCCTAATATGGTCAGGTGCAAGTTACCATATGACAAAGCTTGTGATTCTACATAACCAATTTCAAAAATAAATAAACCATCAAATTTTATATACTGTTTTGCCTGTTCTTACTCGCTTCTAATATTACTGAATGCAGATACAGTACATGACAAATGTTCCATATTACCCATGAGTTAACATATACTGTAGAAATTATGGCATTTATGAATATTAATTCATAGGGGCGCTCATTCCAGAGCTTAACAGGAATTGACAACTATTTTTTTAGATAAATAGTAATTTAGTACAGTAGGGTAAAAACCTAATTACTTTTGCCCCATGGGCTGTGTATATTGCAGCAGAAGATATAGTTGTGTGAAATGGTTGTCATGGAAACTATCTACCAATACACGTCTGTGCTTATAAGAAAATCATACAAACGGATGCCTTTAAAAATGTGGCTGCATTTGTGTTGGACATCTAACACTAGCTACGGTATTTACTTGCTCTTTGATATCATGTTCAACTAATCTTGCAAAATGTGCTTCAAAATATTTGTGTTAAAAAATAACTTTTGCACAGTTACATTTACATCAAATTATTTGGTGTTCAGTAAATCAGTGCAAAATTTCCAAATTAATGGATAGTGGTGATTGCATGTAGAAGTTACATGTCGAAGTCAGTTGTTTGTTGGTAATAATAAAGTGAATATGGAAAAAATCTTACCTTTCTGACATAGTATAATTTTCCTCTGCAGCTGAACACACATGTCATTAAGTTGATCAGCTTGCCAATATTTCATAAACACTTTGCGAGTACCAATCTGCAACATGTAAATATAAATGTGTTACTGTTAAATAGCCTGTGATAGCAGTGGTGTATTTAGTTTTTGTGCTGCCCTAGGCAACACAAAAATCAGACGCCCCCCACGGCGAGAGCCTGACAGTGACCAACAGCACCCCTGCCCCATCCCCCCACCCGAGAGAGCCTTCCATTACCATTCACCCCCCCATGGCTACAGAGAGAAGGACACTCACCTTCACAGCTCTGGACATCCCTGGAAACGGCAGCTGGGCTCTGCATACACCATCAAGCAGCCCGAAGCCTCTCTTGGATTCCACCTGGTCCCTATGCCACATATGTCCCTTCTTCCAGGGAGCAGTGCTGCCCCCCTAAAAAATGCCGCCCTAGGCAAATACCTTGTTTGCCTTGTGGTAAATACGCCCCTGTGTGATAGGAGTATGTGTCCATAGATAAGAAAACCCAGCGGTATGACCCTGATTTGATTTGAGAGGTCTTTTTAACAAAGAAGTCTCAATTTCTGCGGTTTTGGTGACTGATATGGTTCAGTATACAATAAGCAAGATTTAATCTAGCTCCATTGGTTGATTTTCTTCCTTGATGACTGGTGGAATTGTGTGATGACCCTTGCTAGACTGTACTGGGAGTGTTCTCTAAAAATATTTGAGTTGGTTATGTTTGCTTGTTTCAGTAACTGACTTTAGAGCAGCCATATAATGCAGATCCGTCAATTATTATACAAGACAGAGAATCTGGCACTGTCTACTTATCACTAATCACTCAGCACCAATATAGACAAAAGACAAATTATTTTAGGCATAAGCAGTATTTGATTTTATTATATGGCTTTCTGGGCAGACCAGATTTTTTTTTTTATTAAACTAGCCAATCAGTCAATTAAACAAGCTTCTTTATGTTATTTTTTCCAGTAAGGAAAAAGTTAGTTTGTTTTTTAGCTCTAAATTGTGGTTTGTTACCTCTGTCTTGTTTTTTGCTGTCCATGTCAGTGCAAGAGCCACAGACAGAATTATGCCTTGTATTATTTCATACTGATCATAGCACTTCTATAATTCAGAATGTATACAAATGTAAAGAATTTAAACAAGTATACTGTTCTGGTATTGAGTGGGAACACCACTCAGGAACTCAAGTGTTCAGTTGAATAGTTGGGCACTGCAGTAAGTCCTATTAACCAGGTACTGAACTGACAATTCAGTATTCTGGTTGTATATACATGTAGGGATCTGCTGCCCTCTACTGATAACTGCTATTATTACAGTGTTATGTATAATTATGTATTGGCACTTCCTGTTTCTGAGAGGTTGACTTTGAAACCCCAAAAGAAGGAGAAAGTGAAGAGAGAGACAGCGAACTGAGCCATGTGGCCCTATACACACAGGGGCTACTACCACTGCTGTATTTTCACCAAGGTCAGATGCAGAGACCTTTATGAAACAGGTTCGGGCTGAATCGTTGGCTCATCCAAGTTATAGGCAAAATCACCAGGTGAAAATAAAACCTAGTACTAGTAAGCTGCAATATATAAAATGTTTGTTCTTGTTTTTACATGTATTTTTTTTTAATGCAAGCAGTGTAAGTACTTGAACTTGATTTCATATCAGCTTCTTATAGTCCCTGTATTGCAAAGTTTAGCCTGGAGGAGGAAGAAGTTACTGTACAATCACAGATAAAGGGAGGGATGAGACCTGTAATTACCTATTGACAGGACTTTTCTTAGAAGATATGTGCAGAAACTTCCCACTTCAGTGTCACACTTGTCTCCACCCCCTAGCCACTTCCGAGCACCATCCCTTGGGTCTACCCCCTACTCACCTCCCAGTACTGCCCATTTTGGAGAATACAGAGCCAAGTATAATTTTATGGTTTTAAATAATTTGCATGGAATTTTTTAATGATAACTACAAAAGCAGTAAAATAGATCTCCAGCAACAATAGACCATGTCCAGCAACAACAGATCCACCCCAGCAGCAATAGACCCTCCAGCAACAATAGATGCACCCCGGCAACAATAGACTGCTGGCAGCAGCAACAGATCTCCCAGCAGCCAGCATCAATAAACCCTCCAGCAGCCAGAAATAAAGACCCCTCCCTCAACATTAGATCCTTCTTAGCAAGAAATGACCCCCCCCCCCAGAAACATAAGATCCTCCTTAGCAAAGATAAATCTGCTACCAGCAACAATAGAACCTTCCCCAGCAACAATAAACCCCCATGCAAAAATAGATCCCCTCCAGCAACAATAGGCCTCCAAGAAAAAGGAAAGAGGTGGCTGCACTCTGCAACAGGGTGCTTGAATAAAATGTCTTTATTTCAAATAATAGTAACAGATAACACAGGATTCCAAGGACATCAATGTGTTTCACAGAACTTCAGTGCTTATTCATAATCATCAATGGGAAGAATATCTGAGTGGTTGAAATGTCTCATTGCTCAAACAAACCCCTAGCAACCTATGGAGGAACTGTAGCTGAGAAAGTCTGGTCTAGGCACATTGTGAAATTAAACTGATTGAACAAAATGCCTTCCCATTGAGTATCTCAGGGAATTACATGGAAAACTGACCACCATGGAGCTGCTGTACACTAAAAAGTACATTATATAGAGCTAAGAACAAAATGAAAAGAGAATGGGATGTGCTAATGTGATTTACCATGTGTAAATACTTTTTCACTATGATTTACCTGCCATCCTTGCTGTTTGCATTGCTCAAGAACATGGCGGCATTTCTCTTCTGGTGATGCTTTGTGTTTCTCTCTTGTTAAAATTTCTGTTAAGTGCTTATACCTACAATTCAAGTGAAGGGTTAGTATGTAATTGAAGGCTGATGGCAGATGAAGATCCATTGGTAGACGCAGTCCAAATATGTATAATAGTATAAAATGTATAGGTTAGAATCACAGTAATTATAGCCTCAATGTTCTTTCAATTACTTTAAAAAGTAAATACATTTATAATCACACCATCTTAGGCTTATATAAACTATTGTAAACTGATTTTTCCTGTGGTTGAAAACTGGAAAATGGAAAGAAATCCATAAAAATCTCAGAGGAATTTCCAAAATGTATGTAAAGAGGAATAAAAAAAAAAAAAAGAAATACAAGAAGCCAGGTTTTCAGTGCTGCAAGGCAATAAGGATAATCACTGCATTGTCAGAAAATTTGATAAGTATAATGATTTTAAATCAAGGGTACTGATGAAAATACTAGTTTCAGCATATATTGCTATTGATAGGATGCATTATCTTTCTAATTTTAAAAGTAAAGCAAGCATTCCTTCAGCACAATACTGAAGTGAACTGTGTAATTTATGTGGGTCAGGTCACACAATCTCTAATTTATAATTTCTACACAAATTATTCATGCGAGTAGTTGTGTCAGCATATGATCTTTTAAGATTTGTATAGTCAAATATTATTTAATAAATCATCCTTGGTTCTCTTTTTTTAAATAGGCTCTTATCAATCGCAGACATTCATATAGTGTTACAAAGGTGACTGGAAAATTAATCTGAGCTGTGAATTTCTTAACAGCTATATTTATAGGCTTAGCCAAACTTCCAATAGTGGTGATAGCTATTTGCTGACTTAGGAAAAAAATGGCAAAATACATCTAAAAAAGATGATTTGAGTAACTGTAATCTGTTAAAATATGCTTCATACACACACACACACACACACACACACACACACACACACACACACACACACACACACACACACACACACACACACACATTTTTTTTAAGTATTTGTCTTTTCAGTGTTTTTTGCTTTAAATAATCATTGTATCAAAAACCTTTTTTCTGACAGAGTCCATGGCAGCATACATATGTTAATATAAACAGATGCAGTGCCAAGATCAGAATAATATAAATAGTATATAGAGTAGCTAAACCATGAAAAAATAATTAGATATATATAAAGTGCAGAATAATCCTAACCACATGGTGGTGGTAGTGGTGATAAAACAGTCCAAAACAATTGAACATGAGGATCTCGTCAGATCACAACCAAAGTGCTTGGATTTCTTATCCAGGGGTGACAGATGATGTGACTTAATAAGTGAAAGGCGCACTCACCAGAAGCGCGCTAAAAACATGCATTTGAGATTACTACTGTCTCATCAGGTATATTCAGGTCATCTGCTCCAAGCTCAGGCCAGGTTCGTATTTCCTTCTGGGTTCCTTGACAGGTATCACAGCGTCGGGTCACCTCTATAATAGGCTCTGTGAATGATGGCACTCATAGGGGGGCTACAGCATCCAGACATCACGCCACCGCTGGTGGCCATCCTGAATAATATATGGTCAGTTGTCATTTCTTTTTTATTTATACCTTCCTTTGTGGAAATAAACTCCATTTAAAAACAGTATCACGCTATGTGGTCTCCTTTGTTGGGGTCATTTCAACACAGTCAGCGCTACCATCTCCCTACCCATGGAGAAGATTCCAGTGATCCAGAGCTGAATACTACCTGCCCTGTCCTCCTTGCTTCTTTGGACCCTCCAATGCCTGAAAATCATTGGCACCATAGTGTCCACAGAGGCAATGGTGAAGAGGACACAGTGGAAAATACGACCCTTCCAGAGGGGTTTTCTTCAACAGTGGAATCCAGGCAACATGGGCCAGGTCATTTATAGATGTCCGTCCATGAAGGAGAGCCTTCCTTGGTGGCTACAGAGGAAGAATATGCTCAACTGCCACTCGATTGCCCCCATCTCCTAAGTCACAATTACAACGAATGCCAGCAACTCCAGATGGGGCACTCTCTGCCAGTCAGAGATAGCGCAGGGCAGGTGGAGCTTTCTCTCCTACAGGTTGGGGGCTCAAATGTCCTGGAATTGTGAGCGACACTCTGTACCCTACAGGACTTCCTCCTGAGGTCCAAAAATATGACGGCAGTGTCCTACATAAGGAGACAAGGCGGGACCCACAGCCTGTTCCTCTTGCGAGAAGTAGAGCCAATCATGACTTGGGCTTAGAGAAACCTGTCCAACATACCGGTGGTATACATCCCCGGAGTCCAAAACTTGCAAGCAGACTTCCTATCCAGGGTTCAATTAGACAATGAGTGGTCTGTCAACACGGAAGTTTTCAACTGACCTCAGGATCAGTCCAGAAGTCGACCTGTTTACTTCCCTGTGCAACAGCAAACTGGAGATGCACTACACCAGGAATCGCTGTCCCCAGGCCTTTGGGGTGGATGCTCTGACAGGTCAGTGGAGGTTTGTACAGCCTATGCATTTCCCCCAGTTCCTGTCATTTTCAGGTTTCTTCAGAGGCTCAGAGCAGAAGCAGTGGAGGTAGTGGCCGTAATTCCGTACTGGCCAAGCAGACTATGGTTTGCCTTATTGACGCACCTCAGCTTTCGGGATCCGGTTCCTCTCCCTCTCAAGCCAGACCAGCTGTTGCAGGGGGCCTTTTTTTACCCTTGCCCAGCCTGGCTTCATCTAATGGTCTGGTTCTTGAGAGGGGGAGGCTGGAGGCCTTAAGCTGTCCTGCTGAAGTCATCCCCACCCTGATGAATGCCAGGAGACCAAGTACCAACAGGGTCTATGGAAGAGTCTGGTCTATGTTTGTGGACTATATCTGCGGGTGTATCCTTAGTAATCCAAGGGTTCAGGATGTCCTGGAGTTCTTACAGTCAGGCCTGGACCTGCCACTGTCAGTCAGCACCCTCAGCCTTCACTGGAGCATCATGGGCCAACCACTCTCTGATCCGGTAATTCTTCAAGGGAGCAGTAAGGTTGAGGCCCCAGAGAAAACCAAGGTTCCCTAAATAGGACCTCCTGCTTGTTCTCAACATTCTTCCCGGATCGAGTGGTCCTCATCCCTATGCTAGGTTCTAATCCTAAAGTGACCTCGGTCTTCCACGAGAACCAGGAGATTGTCTTGCCAATGTTTAGAGCCTTGGGAGTCGATGACGTTCACCCCCTGGATGTAGGTGAGGCTGTACTTGCAGGTCACAACATCCTTCTGTACCGGTTTTTCCCTTTCTATGGGAAGAGTAAGGGAGACTTGGCTTCTCCCAGATCAATCATGGCCTGGGTTGTCCAGGCCATCAATATAGTCTACAGAGCTAAGGGTTTGGTGCTTCCGGAGGCATGGCCATGGGGTTTGTCAAGAAAATGGGAAATTTCCTATCAAATACATACCGTATTTTTCCTTTCCTAATGAACTCCATGGCAGCAGGAGTACCCTCCCAATGCCATGAGTAGGCTAGTTATGGAACACGGCCTCTGGCAAGGAGCAAATATTTATGGGAGTGGGGTCCTTTGGAGGGGAGAGGGTGGGACTAACCCATACATGGCTAATCTTTTATTATTAATATTATTATTATCCTTTAATTCCTTTATTATAGTAAGAAGGGAGGAAAAAGTACTTTGACATTAGTGAGAGTAAAACATGGAGTGCAGGGGTCAGGAGTAAGTATGTAAATCAGAGTGCAGAGATTAGTGGAAATTAAGATAAAATGCAGGGTAGTATGTAAGGCAAGGTAGAGGGGTCAGTAGTATGTAAGGCAGAGTACAGGGGTCAGTAGTGCATAAGACAGAGGGCTGAGAGTCAGCAGTGATTAGGGTAGAATACAAAGCTCAGTAGTATATATGGCAGAATACAAGGGTCAGTAGTATGTAGTGCAGGATACAGGGGTTAGTAGTATGTGAGGCAGAGTATAGGGCTTAGTAGTATATAGGGAAGAATACAATGGGCAGTAGAATGTAGGGGAGAGTACAGGAGTCAGTAGCATGTAGGGCAGAGTACAGGGGTCTGTAGAATGTAGGGGAGAGTCCAATTTACCCCTTATCCTTTCTGCAGAGTTGTGTAGGGAAGCAGGAGAGAGAAATAGATACCTCTTCTGGTACACTGGTCCTTGCAGATTCATCCAGCCAAGGAGCTTTTATGGTGTATGTGTTTATTTATTTCAGGTACTTATATAGCGCCGTCAATTTACTCAGCACTTTACATATATATTGTACATTCACATCAGTCCCTAACCCTCAAGGGGTGTACAATCTAAGGTATGTGTTTGGAAGCAAATGCATATACTGTATATACAGTGGGGATCGAAAGTTTGGGTACCCCAGCTAAAAATTTGTATTAATGTGCATAAAGAAGCCAAGGAAAGATGGAAAAATCTCCAAAAGGCATCAAATTACAGATTAGACATTCTTATAATATGTCAACAAAAGTTAGATTTTATTTCCATCATTTACACTTTCAAAATAACAGAAAACAAAAAAAATGGCGTCTGCAAAAGTTTGGGCACCCTGCAGAATTTATAGCATGCACTGCCCCCTTTGCCAAGCTGAGATCTGCCAGTGTCATGGATTGTTCTCAATCATCGTCTGGGAAGACCAGGTGATGTCAATCTCAAAGGTTTTAAATGCCCAGACTCATCTGACCTTGCCCCAACAATCAGCACCATGGGTTCTTCTAAGCAGTTGTCTAGAAAACTGAAACTTAAAATAGTTGACGCTCACAAAGCCGGAGAAGGCTATAAGAAGATAGCAAAGCGTTTGCAGATGTCAATATCCTCTGTTCGGAATGTAATTAAGAAATGGCAGTCATCAGGAACAGTGGAAGTTAAAGCAAGATCTGGGAGACCAAGAAAAATATCAGACAGAACAGCTCGCAGGATTGTGAGAAAAACAGTTCAAAACCCACGTTTGACTGCACGATCCCGCCAGAAAGATCTGGCAGACACTGGAGTTGTGGTACACTATTCCACTATAAAGAGATACTTGTACAAATATGGTCTTCATGGAAGAGTCATCAGAAGAAAACCTCTTCTACGTCCTCACCACAAAAATCATCGTTTGAACTTTGCAAATGAACATATAGACAAGCCTGATGCATTTTGGAAAAAAGTTCTGTGGAGCGATGAGGTTAAAATTGAACTTTTTGGCCGGAATGAGCAAAGGTACGTTTGGAGAAGAAGGGGCACAGAATTTAATGAAAAGAACCTCTGTCCAACTGTTAAGCATGGGGTTGGATCAATCATGCTTTGGGGTTGTGTTGCAGCCAATGGCACAGGGAACATCTCATGAGTAGAAGGAAAAATGGATTCAATAAAATTTCAGCAAATTTTGAATGGTAACTTGATGCCATCTGTGAAAAAGCTGAAGTTAAAGAGAGGATGGCTTCTACAAATGGATAATGATCCTAAACACACCTCGAAATCCATGGGGGATTACATCAAGAGGCGTAAACTGAAGGTTTTGCCATGGCCTTCACAATCTCCTGACCTCAACATAATTGAAAATCTATGGATAGACCTTAAAAGAGCAGTGCGTGACAGACAGCCCAGAAATCTCAAAGAACTGGAAGACTTTTGTAAGGAAGAATGGGCAAAGATACCTCAAACAAGAATTGAAAGACTCTTGGCTGGCTACAAAAAGCGTTTACAAGCTGTGATACTTGCCAAAGGGGGCAGTACAAGATATTAACTCTGCAGGGTGCCCAAACTTTTGCAGACGCCATTTTTTTGTTTTCTGTTATTTTGAAAGTGTAAATGATGGAAATAAAATCTAACTTTTGTTGACATATTATAAGAATGTCTAATCTGTAATTTGATGCCTTTTGGAGATTTTTCCATCTTTCCTTGGCTTCTTTATGCACATTAATACAAATTTTTAGCTGGGGTGCCCATACTTTCGATCCCCACTGTGTATATATATATATACACACATTAAAAAAATACTAATTATATTACACCCATTAAACAGGTTTGTTAAGTGAATGTTAACTTTGGGAAGTGTAAGTTCACATTGCAAAGAAATTGTTAGTGAAGCCAAGAATACCTAATGTATGACAGAAAAAAAGGGATTTTTACTAGCACATTATTGGATATTCAGTAAACATATTCCAAATTAATTGTACTGTTCTATAGCGTCGCAAAACCCATTGTCATCAGTTATATGTAGGGTATGATAACATACTGCAAAATAAAAAAAATAATGTGATCTACAGGGGAAAAAATAATAGCATACTAACATGCACATGTGCACACATATTCATATGAACAAAATACATTATGCCAATGCATGGAACTTGGAATTTAGTTGTCATAGAAACAGACAGTTTTTCCTAAGTCAACAATGCTGATAGACTCTTCATTTGCTGTAGTTTTGGACCCATGGTTCAATTAATAATAGTATTGTATTTCTAACTGCTAGGAAATTAGAAATGTAAAAACATTTATACAGTTATACATTTTATACTCTCTCTCTCTCTATCTATATCTATATATATATTTGTGCTCAGAAGTTTGCATACCCTGGTAGAAATCATGACATTCTGGCATTGATATTGAAAATATGACTGATTGTGCCCAAAAACTGTATTTTTTTTAGGGATAGTGATCATATAAAGCCATTTATTATCACCTAGCTGTCTGGCTTCTTTTTAAATCATAATCATAACAGAAATCACCAAAATGGCCTTGATAAAAGTTTATATACCCTGGAATGCTTGGCTTTGATTCAGATACAGAAGGTGACGCATACAGTAGAGGTTAAAATGGCAATTAAAGGTTAATTTCCCACATCTGTGGCTTTTCAAATTGCAATAAGTGTGTGTATAAATAGATACTGAGCCATGAGGAGCAGAAAATAACTGTAAAAATACCAGTGTAACAAGGTAATGGAACATTATAATGATGGAAAAGAATATAAAAATTATGTCCAAAGCATATGCCAGTCAGTGCTGTTCAATCACTTATTAAAATGTGGACAATTTGGGGATCTCTTGATACCAAGCTAAGGTCAGGTAGACCAAGAAAGATTGCAGCCACAAGAAGTATTCGGGATACAAAGAAAAACCCACGGGTAACCTCAGGAGAAATGCAGACTGCTCTGGAAAAGGATGGTGTGGTTGTTTCAAGGAGTACAATACGACGATTGTCAAGCTGCATGGTCAAGTTGCCAGAAAAAAGCTTTTACTGCACCAATGCCACAAAACAAATCTGGCCACAATATGCCTGATAACACCTTGACATGCTTCAGTTTCTGGAGGGACAAGACCAAAATAGAGTTTTACGGTCACAACCATAAGTGCTATGTTTGAAGAGGGATCAACAAGGCCTATAGCAAAAAGAATACTATTCCCACTGCGAAGCATGGTGGTAGCTCACTGGGGGTATGTGAGCTCTAAAGGCACAGGGCATCTTGTGAAAATGGATGGCAAGATGAATACAGCATGTTATCAGAAAATACTATACTGACAGACAATTTACATTTTTCTGCACGAAAGCTGCACTTTGGACGTTCTTGGACTTTCCAGCATTACAATGACTCTAACCACATGGCCAAGTTGACCCTCCAATGGTTACAGCAGAAAAAGGTGAAGGTTCTGGAATGGCCATCACAGTCTCCTGACCTTAATATCATCTAGCCACTCTGGGGAGATCTCAAACGTGTGCGGTTCATGCAAGATGACCAAAGACTTTGCATGGCTTGGAGGCATTTTACCAAAATGAATGGGCAGCTATACCACCTGCAAGAATTTTGGGGCATCATCGACAACTATTACAAAAGACTGCACGCTGTCATTGATGTTAAAGGGGGCAATACATAGTATTAAGAACTAAGGGTATGCAGACTTTTGAACACAGGGTAATTTAATTTGTTTACTTGTTGCCATGTTTTATTTTCTGATTGTGCCATTCTGTTATTTTATTACAGGTATTTACTGTCAATTTACGCAGTGCTTTACATGTGTGTATACATATATATATATATATATATTAGTACATTCACATCAGTTATGACCTGCAGTTGAAAATGAATCCCATAAGAAATAAAAGAAATATGTTTTGCCCGCTCACTCATGTTTTTATTTAAAAATGGTACTGTATATCACCAATTTTACTGTATATGATATTGTTGTCCTATTACTAACAATATAAGATTAAATCTCACCTTGATAGGAAGTCAGGGAAAGCCAAACGTACTGGATAACCATGACGTATAATTTTCACCATCTCCAACACTCCAATATATTGCAATTGTGCTGACACATAAAAATTATCAAAGGTTTCTGCCAGTTTAGAACTATTAGGCTTAATACAATGCATGAGATGAAGTGTGCTGCTTTGTATCTTCCCGATCAGTTCTGTGAGAGATTTCTGCACAGTTAAGACAAGCCTTGGTCATTAGAAATATAAACAATGCATACTGTACATATACATATCCATGTACATATCTTTCCTTTCCTTTGCCATCAAATGGAAGGGAACAACCCAATTTAAAAAAAAAAATAAATACTGAAATTACTTACCCTGAGTTGTATAGTCACAGTAGTGGGGCCTCCACGTTCCAACTTTTGAATAAATGAGTATGATCCTTTTTTTTTTCAACAACTGATAAGGAAAAATATGTAAAATATATTTTATTTCCACCAATTATTAAGTACTGACATTTTCCTCAGGACTTTACACAGAGTACTATCCCACTTACATCTATCCTTGCCCCAGAAAGAACATAAAATATAACGTTCAACACAATGGGGTTGATTTACTAAAACTGAAGAATGGAAAATCTGGTGCAGCTCTTCATAAAATCATTCAGCTTTCAGTGTTTTTGTTTTTTTTACTCAAAGCTTAATTGAACAAGCTGAAATTAGAAGCTGATTGGCTACCATGCACAGCTGCACCAGATTTTGCACTCCCCTATTTTAGTAAATCAACCCAAGTCTAGTATACAGCTGAAAATGAATTTGCCAGCACAGTACAGACAGAATTTATTATGATAACCATTAACTCCTCACACCCCTCTGTATAGCAGAAAACGCTCTGCAGAGAAAAGGAAAAAGTTTGAAGTTTTCAGAAATGAGCAAGTAAAATGTAAGCAGCAATTTTAACCCCTTGGTGCTGGTGCCTCCCAGGCTTTTAAGGGGTTTGTGACACCGGGAGGTGGGGCAGGGTTTAGGGTGATTGGCTGCCACAGTGGTCACATGATCAGAAAGGGCCTGAACGCAAGTAGTTTCCGGGACCTTTCCATGAGGTGCCAGTAAATTTATTAATACACCAGACCTGAACCTTAAAATTGCATTGCAAGAAGGTCATTCTTCAACATTAACACCTTCCCACCCGGCCTATAGCAGATTGACGGCTGGGCGGGCCACTCCTTGTTGTGACTAGTCCTGTCAAAAACAAGCCGCTCATGTGGCTGTGGGGCTGCGCAGCAGCACGATTTGTCACCGGCTATGTCCATGGGACACAGCCGATGACATATCACTACAGCCCATTGCTAGTGTCATGTGACCGCTGTTACCAATCACAGCAGATCACATGTCAATTGTATACAATGGATGGCTTCCTGTCATGCCATCCATTGTATACAATTGTGTTGTTAGGTGTGACTGGTCAAGGCAGTCACATGATACGGACAGGGCCAATCACAGCCCATCTGTATCATGTGATCAGCTTTGCCCAATCACAGCTACTCACAACAAAAGACTGAATGAATCAGTTTCATTCAGTATCAAGGATGGCAAATATCAATGAAATACCTTGGTACTAGCAATCATAATGTGTAAAAAATAAAAAAAATCCTGATCACTTGTCCAGAGTAGTTCAATGTTACTATGGTAACATTGTATTGCTTTGGTCTCAGTGTGTTGAAAAATAAAATAGTAAAAAAAAGAAAAATAAAATAATAATAGAAACATTTTGAAAAAAAAAATACAAATTCAATTATTATTATTATTTTCACCAAAGAAATGTAGCAGAATACATTTATACCTAAATTTATGAAGAAATGTTATTTATTTGCAAAATGGTATAACAGAAACGAAGAAAAAGTGTGTTTTTTTCAGAAGTTTCAGGTGTTTTTTGTTTTATTTAGCAAAATTTAAAAAACTCAGTAGTGATTAAATACCACCAAAACAAAGATCTATTTGTGTGAAAAAAAATTATAAAAATTACATATGGGTACAGTGTTTCATGACCGCGCAATTGTCATTCAAAGTGCGACAGCGCTGAAAGCTGAAAATTTGCCTGGGCAGGAAGGGGGTATAAGTGCCGGGTATTGAAGTGGGTAATTAGCAGGAAGTAGAACCTGAATATATATAGGGCAGGTATGACTGTCCTTATGTAAATTTACAGACTATACACAATAAAAAGGTGTTTATTGTTTATAGAAATATTTATATTCAGCTAATCAAAGCTAAATATCGAACAGCAAAACTGTAAAGAGACTATAGTACCTCACTAAAGTATTTAATACTTTGGTATACAGCCTACTGAATTACAGAGTTCTTCAGCATTCCTGTCTAGGTTCATGCAGCCCATCCTTAGTAATTGACAGTTTCAGCTCAGTGCTGAGCAGATGTGTTCAGGAACTATAATATCAGGGGAAACATTATCCAAGCTTGTTTCATAAGTTAAGAGAAAGTTAGTCTCTTCTGACCCATACCTGGCCAATCACCTTCCCTGAAGAAAAGTGGGAAACAGAATATAGGCACCCTATTTAGTGCTAAGATGCTATGTCACATCTCTGCTGATGTGGATAAAGACTCTTGATAAAAAAAAGCTTGCAAATTGCATTCGTTTAAATGGTGTTTTTTGATGGTGTTTGTTTTATTAATGAAGTAATCCCAAACAGGGCCGGATCTAGCCTGTCTGATTTGGGGGTGCAGTAAAAATAGTCAGGGGGGCAGAGGATGCAAGGTTAGCAGGGCAGTGTATAAGAGTCAGAAGGGCAGTGTACAGGAGTTAGCATTGCAAAAGACAGGGGTCAACAGGACAGAAGATAGGGGTCAGCAGGGCAGGGTACAGGAGTTAGCATGGCGGAAGACAGTGGTCAGCAGAGTTGAGGACAGGGTCACTGTTGGCAGGGCACTTAAGAGATCTCCTCCTCCCCACACAGCACATAGCTGAGATCGGTATCCCTCCACACAGTGTGTAGCTGTCTACTGCAGCTGTCAATCCAATCAGGGAATTTCACAGGTCAGAACTGCAACTCAGCCAGCTACACATAGTGTAGATCGAGGCTGTAAAGAATCTGATCTCAGCTATGTGTTGTGTGGGGAGATCTGTTGAGTGCTGTGTGTGCAGTGTGGGCAGTGCAGGGACAAGGTCACCTAGCAATCAAGGTGAAGGTGACAAACTGCACCCCCCCCCCAAAAGAAAAAACAGCTCTAATCAATATGCTCACCCTCTAAGCATAAATTCCTTCTGCAAACCCAAATTCTATCCAAACAAAAATGCAAAAATTCCCCATCCTCACAGTCCAAATCACTCTTCCAGCTCAAATCCCCTCAATCCCTAACAAATCCTCTATGCCCCAAAGATCACTCCTCCTAGCACACATCCTCTTTCCTTCCAAATCCCCCCCTCCTAGCACAAACCCTCTCCCCCGAATCCCCCCTCCTAGTACAAACTCTCTCCCCCAAATCTACAGTCCTATTACAAATTCTAACCCCAAATCCAACCTCCTAGTACAAATTCTACCCCAAATCCCCCCTTCTAGTACAAATTCTCCTCCCAAATCCCCCCTCCTAGTACAAATTATCTCCCCAATCCCCCCCCCCCCCCGAGTACAAATCCCCACTCCTAGCTTAAATCCTTTACCAAATTTCCCCTTCTAATACAAATCCCCCCTCCTAGCACAAATCCTCTCCCCAAATCTCCACTCCTGGTACAAATTCTCTCCTTAAATCACCCCTCCTAGTACAAATTCCCCCCTACTCATAGCACAAACCCTCTCTCCCCAAATCCCACCTCCTAGCACAAATCCTCCCCCCCAGTACAAAACCTTCCGCCCAAATCCCCCCTCCTAGTACAAATCCCCCCCATCCCCAATTCTAGTACAAATTTGTCCCCCCCAATTACCCTTCCCAGCACAAACAGCCCCCCCCCACCACCCCTCCTCTACAAGCTCCCCCTCCCCCAATCTTACAGGAGCAACAGGAGTAGTGAGGAGATGCGGGCTCTCTGCAATCTCCCCCTCCTCTCATAACAGCGATTCTCTATACAGCAGGTTATACAGGATTGCTATTACATCCAATGGTACACGGCTTTATTACCCCCCGATCTCTTCCAAAGACTGATCAACTCTTGGAAATGTGGATGGGGGTGGGTAATGAAGCCGTGCACTGAATTAATGAAGCCGTGCACTGGATGTAATAGCGATCCTTTGTAACCTGCTGTATAGAGGATCACTGTTATGACAGGAGTTGGAGATCACAGAGAGCCCACATCTCCTCCCTGCCCTCTCCTCTCTGCCGCTCCTCTCTGGACTATTTTCTTTAGATAACTGTGGCTGGCCGCTGAGTGCAGGGAGGGGGGAGAAAGCTCATGAGGCATTGCACAATGTACATGGGAGGAGGGCAGGACCCGTCCTGGGGGGCAAAATTTAAATCTGGGGGCACAGCCCACCCCAGCACCCCCTAGATGTAACCAAATCCTTTGCCTGTCTTCTTTCTGTCCATTCCTACCAGGTTCATGAAAAAGGATCACTTGACCAGCCTGAAGATTAATGCTATAGCAAAAGCAAATTCCAGAATTGGGTCTTGTGTCCTATGTGAAAAAGCCTTTAAATGTTGAAAGGGAGTTACATTCTGCATCTTGTCCATTGTGTTCTGATATAATGTAAAACAGTCAACTGAAAAGACTTAAGACAAAAATAAAATTGACTCAAAACCATTATTGTATAATAGATAGCCTTGTGTGTGTTTCTAGGTTTGCAATAAAAATTAATGTTAAAGCACAGCTATCTGTTATACTATTGCAAGTGTAAGTAATAAACATTGTGCACTGATGCATACAGGAAAATATTATAACAGAACATTGCTAGATCTTACCTTACTAAGTTCCAGAATCTTTTTGGTCTCTCCATGTGATGTGGTTAGTGTTTTTTTAAAAAGTAAGGCTGCTTTGGGTCCTCTGAGCTTCAAAGGTGGATACAGGGGTATAAGCGATCCTGTTTGAGTCAGCTTTGACTGAAACATCTGGTTGACTATCACATTTTCACTGGCTATGGGAAAGCAATAATAATTAGTAATATATAAATGGTTTGAACCTCAGTACTTTCAGTTACTGTAAGTAAGGTGTTGCAGGGCTCAGGCTTTCTGTGAAGACCTGTTTTTTGGGATAATGCACGTACCCTTCTGTCAGCTATTAGGGGCATTTACTACATAAAGGAGGAATAAACATTCTGTGTGGGCTTGTATGTGGATGAATGCTAGTACTGTGGGTGGGACATGAGGCATTTTGGTGGACAAGTCGCATTCAGAAACAGCAAAGACAGCGATGATGGCTCAGAACTGGGCAAAATTTGGAAGCACTGATCTAAATCATAATAAAAAGCAAAATCGTTTCTTAGGCTCTATGCAAACTATAATTTTTTAAGCTCCTATAAGCTGTTATTAGCACTTTTTTTCTGCTCCTAAAAGCTAAATAGTGTCATTCTATGTGTCCATGCACACTATTTTAGGCTATTAGCGTTTTTTGAGCTTCAGCGTCTAGGAGCAGAAAAAAAATTGGTTTTGTAGATTTTTGGAGTGTTTTTCCAGCAGAAAAAAAAAAACACTATATGCTATTAAACACCACCAAACGCTCCTAATAACCTTTTTCTACATGTACTGTAAAAATGCTAATAAAACACTAACGCTTCTAAAATGCTCCTAAGACACTACTAAAAAAACGCTATTACCAGCATTTATCCAGTGTTTTTTTCAGCATTTTGTTAGTTTAAAAAAAAACACTAGTGTGCATGGAGTTGAGACAGTTGTTACAGGAACAAGTCTCCCTGTTGGCAGATATTCCCTCTATTCCTGTTCCAGTGACAATGCAACATTTTGGATTATCACAGAAGTGGTGAGGCTTCCCAGCAGGAACACAAACAACAACATAAACCTAAGAGGATATTCTAACCCTACTCTACTCTATTAAAAAAAAAAAAAATACGTTTGGCTGTAGATATATTTTAATATGAATGTATGCATTGCCCTTGCTTTGTCCACCTGTGGAGCAAGGCAAGGAAGACCCAAACACCAGTGCTGCCACATTGGATGAAGGGTAGTGAATTATATGCATCCACACAGCTGTGGTGGCCAGGGCCAGCATTAACATCAACCTGTTGCTTTGACCTGTATGGGCAAATCACAGTTTCACTTTAATTTACTATAACTGAATACTACATACATTTTTTTTCCACCCTGGTGACATTCCTACTACTAATTTTAAGATCTACCCACAAATCCTTACTGACATTAAGTGTAGTAATTTATAGCTAATGCCAGGTCAGACAAAAATATTGGCTGTGACATACAGATAAGAAACAGGTATTGTAGGTTAACTTTAGTGGGCCACAGTGTGTTGTTATGGCTGCCAGAGACTTTCCAGCATGTTTCAATCCTCCCTCCTTACTATAGGAAAAATAATAAAGTCTTACTATCATAATGTTATGTGAATCCCATTAAGAACTGTAGTGGTTCAGAGAGGGTTTGAGCACTGGGAGATGCATTGTTAGCAAGGAATCTGCTGGCCTTCACTCTAGATCATTTATAGAGGATTTCCAGGTATGGATTATTTATACATAGTTACATTGGTCCAGCTTGGGCCAATGTGACTATGTATATACCACACCTAACCAATGCCCCTGGAAGCTGGAAATCACTGACGTAGACATTGCTTGTCTAGTGATCTCCACTTGTTCTGGGTCCTGTGTTGAGTGGCTGGCCTGATGCATTCTGAACATAGTAGAATTGGCCACTTGGTACAGGTGCCATTCAGAGAATGCTTTGTATTTTGTAAAATGCAAGGCTTTCTCTGTTAGGACCAGTTGGAGAGGCACGGTGCTGACATCAAGCTCTCCATGTCATCCAATCAAAGAATGCTTTGCATTTATTCAGAAAATGCAAAGCAGTCTCTGGATTGTTCCCCCCTGAGAGGCCAACCTCCTTTATTCAGAATGTAGCAAGGCAGTCAATCAGCACGGGGCCTGGAAGCTAGTGGAGATCACTGGAGAAGCTGTGTCTACTAGCTTCCAGGGGCATCAGTCAGGTACAGTATATACATAGTTACATTGTTCAAAGCTGGACCAATGCAGTTGTGTAAATGTTCTTCTTTAAATGTTCGCATGCAAACTACATAAGAAACCTATCATTGAAAAGTAACAGTGAATAATATTAACTTACTTTTCATGACAAAAAGAAGATTCTGAGATAGAACATCTTTGTTTTTCTCAATTGCTCCAGAAATATCATAAGTGACCTGAAAGCACAAAGTCACAATTAATACTGCATATAAATGTGTTAATATTCATACCTTCAATATTGTTTTAATCATAATGTGTATTATTGCAGTCACAATGTATCTGCTTACATGTAGATGGTACTAAATAGGCTAAATGAAATGGTGAGAATAATGTGGTGTGTTTAAAGTGAACATCTAACTTTATCTATCTAGTTCTTATGACGTACACTACACTAGATACATAAGTCATAACTGAGAGAAAGTAACATCTCTTTACTAGACTGATTAGCAAGCTCTGCACTGTATACTTTACACAGAGAATTAAAGGAGGCAATGTAATTGTCTTCTCATTTCCAGTATACATATTTATGTTGGATTCCTTTAGCACATATACTTTTTAGAATACTAACACATACAGATAAACTGGATGAATACACACATCCTCTTGTCAGGACCTCCTATTTGTTTCCATGTAAAATAAAAATGCCTATAGAGAAAAAGTGTTTGTTAAATTCCCTGAGCAAGCACATACATAAATATGCAATATACTTTGTTAAACCTGGAAGCGTTTTTATTAGTTTACATTTCACTGGGATTAAACAAATTGACAGCTAATTCATATCTTATAAATACATATTATTTTCACATGTTTAGTGGCTGTATTATTCATTACATATAATAACGTATTACAAGCATATTCCATAAGGTTGTACAAAGAACAATGATAATACCACTCTTCTTACAGTGGTTTGACGAGAACAAAGGAAATATGATTAATTTATTGTTTGTTACACCACATTTCCAAATAAGACCATTAGTCTAAGCTCTGCATTTTCATGTCATTCACTAGTGTTATTTTAATACAAATCAAAAAGAGTGTTTAGATTAGACTGAAAAGACAAGCAGCCAATCAAAGGAAAGAGGTACCGCCTGGGCAACTTCCACAAAACCCATGAGACCAAGGGTATGGTGGGTCTCCTGCCCTCCCCAGAAAAATATATTCAGATAACAGTTGAGGGCAAATATCTTTTCTATATGTACTGGGATTCAGAAGGAACCCTTTAATCTAGTTCACTATCCTATTATTATTATTATTATTATATAGTGTTTATATAGCGCCAAAGGGTTTGCTCAGCGCTGTACATTAGAGTGGGGGGACAGTACGTGAGACAATAGAATATCAATGCAATAGACGAGGGGTTCGAGGGCCCTGCTCTTTCGAGCTTACAATATTATTTATTATTATTATACAGGATTTATATAGCGCCAAAAGTTTGCGCAGTGCTTTACAAAATGAAGGTAGACATTACAGTTACAATACAATTTGGTACAAGAGGAAACAGAGGGCCCTGCTCATTAAAGCTTACAATCTAGGAGGAAGAGTTGAGTGATACAAAAGGTAATAGCTGTGGGGGGATGAGCTGATGGAAGAAATAAATGGCGGTTTACTAGGTAGAAGCAGGATAGACTTCTTTAAAGAGGAATTTTCAGGAATCATCTAAAGGTGGATAGATTAGGAGACAGCTGGACAGATTTGGGTAGAGAGTTCCATAGGATGGGAGAAGCTTGGGACAAGTACTGGAGGCGAGCATGGGAGGAGGTGACATGGGAACTAGAGAGCAGAAGGTCTTGAGAGGATCAAAGAGAGCGGTTTGGTTGATATTTTGAGACCAAGTTGGTGATGTAGCTGGGGGCAGAGCTGTTGATGGCTTTGTAAGTTGTTTTTAGTATTTTGAATTTTATTCGTTGAGCGAGTGGAAGCCAGTGGAGGGATTGGCAGAGAGGGGTAGCAGACACTGAACAGTTGGTAAAGTGGATGAGACTGGCAGCAGTATTCAAGATGGACTTGAGGGGGGATAGCCTATGTAAAGGTAAGCCAATGAGGAGGGAGTTGCAGGAATCAAGTCGAGAGATTACCAGGGAATGAATTAGGAGCTTTGTAGTATCATTGGTTAAAACGGGGCGTATTCTGGAAATGTTGCAGAGGTTGAGGTGGCATGATTTGGACAGGGATTGGATGTGGGCCTGAAAGGATAGTTCAGAATCCAGGGTTACACCTAGCACCTTGGCATACGTGGATGGGTTGATAGTGGTGCTATTGATCCTGACTGAGAAATCAGGGGAAGGGGCACGTGGGGGAGGAAATATTATGAGCTCAGTTTTATATAGATTGAGTTTTAGGAAGTGGAGTGACTCATCCAGTCTGATATGTCTGTTAGTAAATCGGTGATACGTGTTGAAACTGATGGGGTGAGCTGAGGAGTAGAGAGATAGATAGATGTCATCAGCATAGAAATGGTATTGGAAACCATGGGAAGCTATCAACTGACCCATTGAGAATATGAGAGGTTCAAGGACAGAACTTTGGGGGACCCCGACAGTAAGAGGAGTAGAGGAGAGGAGGAAGTAGAGTTGTAAGTGACACTGAAGGTGCGGTGAGATAGGTAAGATTCAAACCAAGGGCGAGTATAGTCATGGAGACTAAGTAAATAGAGTTTTTTGAGGAGGAGGGGGTGGTCAACTGTGTCAAAGGCAGCGGAGAGGAACAAGAGCAAGAGTATGGAATAGTGACCATTGGTGCACCATTGGTGCATAATCAAAAAACTGGTTGCCATATGAAGGCAGCATTGTTTGTTGAATAGGATCTAAAGATAGGAGCAAGATATACATTTAGGAACAAACACCTATACAGATACAGAAGGTTATGCTTTACTGAAAATTGCAGGTGGGGAACAGCACTCTAGTCTGAAATTGGTGACAAACATTTCTCTGAATTAAAAAAATTATAAATAAAAGGTATTCATCAATGGACCTCATGCTTTATATAAGTCTCACTACTTGTGTAAAAGGCTGCATGGAAGACAGGTCCCTTAATCTGAAAAGGATATTGGCAGCATGTTGGCTATCCACAAGTTGAGCCTTGTAAATCTCTACTAGACCTCATGCTACCAACTTGTCTGGTCAGGGACAAATTTACCATTGGCAAAAAGACGTATTTCCCCATATAACAAATACTTTTTTAAATTGTTAATAGAATTGCTACAGTATATGGTAATCTCATATAACCATGTTTACACATTGGTACAATATTCTAAGCCAGGTGAGGAAGAACAAGTGGTGTGTAAAAGAGGGGTCATTTATTGAAAGAGTACATTTTACAACACACCTTGGAAACCCAAACCACCTCCAGAACAAGCTTTATTTTTGGTTTTTAAATTCAGGAATGGCTAAAACATAGTTGTATTGTAAATGCTGTTTCCAGAGAAGGAACATGTCTCCTCCTCCTGTATTGTGTTTTACCCATCACATTAAGAGCAAAGGAGAGCAAGTTTTCCTCAAGATAGCTTAGACAAATAAAACACAGACAGAGGTTCTGAACCTTCTACACATTGCTTTTATTGCTGCATCTGTCCCTTCCTGTCTTGTTTTGTTTAACACATATCTGGCACCATTTAAAAAGAGACAACCACTGAAATGGGTTAGGGTTCAAAATAATTGCTGACAAAAGTAATACTAATGAAAAAGAGAGATCCTCTGTTGAAATAGCCCTAATGGTGGAATGTATTCTATGGTTGCCTAAATGGCCATGATGGAAGCCAGGGATGAATAGAGTGGGAATCTCCTCTTTTTTGCAATGTCACTGAATCAGGCCATGCCAAATGCACTTAATTGAATGCTGGAGTTGTCTGCTGCCATCCTTTTAATATTAAAGAGTCAACAAAATTAAGTGTGTAGTGTGATGTCTCGGTTTTTCTGCTATTGTCCAGCATCAAGTCAGTAGATCAGTCCAATGTATTTTGCCTTTTAAACATACTTGTTTGTGTACTGATTGCAGCAATTTTACACTGCAGTTATAAATCCCTTTTATTAAACTTTTTTGCTATAGTTATTCCAGCATACATTTCTTATCCTTAAAGTGTTACTAAACCCACAACAGTAAAATTAGCCTGTATATGCAGTAAAGCATGCTTGTTATACTCACTGTAGAACCTAAGGGGTTATTCCTCTGCATTGTGTAAACTTTTGGCCATTTGATCCTGTCTTCTCTGCTCCTCCTCTTGTTCAAATGTCCACGTCTTATCTCCTGATAAGACAGACTGAACCATAACCATGTGATCAGCACTGCCCAGACAGAGGTCAATGGTTTTGCATACTCCTAGAGCAGAAAGAACACTCCTCCTATAACCTTTACCCAGTGCTCTGCTGAACACTGAGCGAAGTCACAAGACTGCTCTAACTACTGATGAGGAAAGGTATTTACCAGTTTATATTTACTAAAATAATTGTACTTCCATGATCTGTGTACCGTGGGAGACCAGATAAAGTAAATGCAGGGTCCTGGGTTTAGTAACGCTTTAAAAAATTATTTCATAACATTTGCAATCTAGCTTCCTCATCCCCTTCTCCCATGGTCACCTCCAGGACTTCTCCATAGCGGCTGGAGCTCCCTACCTCGACTTATACGGATGTCTCCTACTCTGTATGTCTTTAGGCAATCCCTGAACATTTATCTCTTCAGGAAAACCTATTCCACCTCTAACTAACAACTGGAATTTTACTACCTCCATTATCTCATCCTTTATAGATATTACATTTTGTATAACTTGCCCTTCCCTTTTAAATTGTAAGCTCTCTTGAGGCCTCTTTTCTTGAATTGTATTGTAACTGTACTGCCCTTTTATTTCTTAAGAAGTTTTCACAAACTGTTAGCACTATATAAATCCTGTATGATATTAATCATATAATAATAATTATTATTTTAATAGTAGTGATTCTCCACTCTGGTAATGTAATGATATAAACTGTATAGTTTTCTCTGTGTTCATTCAGTTATAAAATACATTGCAATGCATTTCTGAGAATAGTGCTCTGTCTGCTAACAAATCTCACTGAATAAAAGCTTTACAGAGATTAACTAAAAAGATTACATGCAAATGAGATTTAACAACAGCTTTGGGGAGAACTAATCTAATTTTGCTAGAAAGTATGTATTTGTTAATGATCATTCTCTGTGGAAA